ATACTATAGCATGTGTCATTTTTCATCAGTTTGGAAGTCATACTATATAGTATGTGTCATTGTCATCAATTTTGAAGTCATACTATAGTATGTGTCATTTTTCATCAGTTTGGAAGTCATACTATAGTATGTGTCGTTTTTCATCAGTTTGGAAGTCATACTATAGTATGTGTCATTTTTCATCAGTTTTGAAGTCATACTATAGTATGTGTCATTTTTCATCAGTTTGGAAGTCATACTACAGTATATGGGAGTGATTGTGCAGAGTTTAGAGAAGATTGCCCTTTGATCAGAACATCGTTCGGAACGACAATATCAAACCTGTGGGTGGGGTAGGTGAAGCACCCACACCTGCCCCGACCCTCATTCGTCCCACTCTGGGCCCTTGAGCAAGGCCCTTAATCACCATCTGCTCCTCCGGGTGTCCATGATTGCAGTTCTCTCCTCCACACAGAGCGCTGTGGTTGCTCGGTTGTCTGTGTTAGCGTCAGGATGGGCATCCGGCGTAAAAATATCTTCCAAGTCTTTGTGCGACTTAGTTTGCTTTGGTGACCCCTAACGCAGGGAGCAGCCGAAAGAAGAATGAAGCATATTTAACAGATTCAAAGTTCTGACACAAGTGTGCTTTTGGACACTGTGAAATCCAGTATACACTGCTTTTTTTTGTCTCATTAGATCCATCAGATTAAATTGGGTACTCGTATGTCATTTTAAAAATGTCAGGATATATAAGGAAGGTCTTAATTGGCATGTACAAAGAGGAACAGGTTATAGTTACTGTTAAGAAAGTATACAGTATATTCCCATGTATGTGATATATTTTTCATGTCATGGGCACATTTTCCACCCCATGTGGTTTGTTGATTCATTTTTTTTTGTCTTTTCTAGATTCTCATGGGATGGATCTGTTTGCGGTTGCAGTTCATGAGTTTGGTCACGCCATCGGCCTGGTCCACACCTCAGCCATGGAGTCCATCATGAGACCGTACTACCAAGGTCCTGTGGGAGACCCTCTGAAATATGATCTACCTTACGAGGACAAAGTCCGTGTGTGGCAGCTCTACGGTATGAATAAACGTGGTCACTTAAGTACTTGGCCCCGCCCACTCTAATGTGCATCCTAATCCGCTGGCCATTAAATGTTGGTCATGGTTGAACAATATTAGCTATTCAGAGGATAAAGTGAACTCTGTTAAAAACAAGAAAAAATCTTTTTACAAAAATCTCTTGCCACAGCCAGAATGTTCTTCCCTTATAAATTCAAGTCAATATTGTTGCTGATATTTCCATCTAGTAACATGATGACGGTATTTCATTTTTTTAATTTATTTGAATTTCTCATTCTTGTTTGGATTTTTTTCAAACAATCAACAGCTTTTAAACAAACAACAACAAAAAAAGTATTTTGAATAGTGTATTCAGGGTCTATATCTGTTCAAATGAGTGCATTTCATATATGAAGCTGGGAGAGGTGATTTTAGTTTAATTTTAGAGGCATTTTAGATTAATTTTATGCTTAATTAGACTTTAAAATTCCAAAAAGGATGCACAAACAAAATAATTTTGTATTTCTATTTGGAACTGAGATAATGCTGCTTAAAAATGAGGCAGCGTGTCTCTGAAGCTCTAAAGGGAACCTTAACAATTGGGAAGAAACAACATATGTGCAATTTTAAAAGTGATGCATTAAAAAAAGCTGTTCTTCACTTCTTTGTATTTCATTAAACCCAACACAGTATCCGCTGGTCTTAATAGTAAATGTCATTGCTATGAAGAGTTTTGAATTAAGAACATGTTTGCAGGCTAAATTAGGAGTTCTCCAACATCAAGTGCATTCACACCATCCTTCACTACATGATCAGCCTCTGCTGACGTCTTGTGCTCACTTTGTGCTGCGATAGGAATGTTTGTCTATTGGGTACAGCTCAGGAGACTAAAGGTACAGAGGCCTACTCGTGCAGGAAGCTGCAGTTCATGAACTTCATAGAGCAAAAAAAAAAAAAGGATGGAATAAGTTAATTGGACCTCATTATAGCACACAGCTCTGCAGCTTTATACAGGAAGTGTCAACAAGAGGAACAAAAACAGAGAAATATTGGTTTACAGTTTGCTTTAAAGGAAAAGAATAAGAGAATATGGTGTTAATGCATAAATAACAAACAGGATAACTAAGAATTATGAGGCTTTTTATAAAACTGAGCATTTATTATCGTTCTGTAGGTGTCAGAGACTCGGTGTCTCACACAAATCAACCAGGTAACCCCTCTCAGACCCCCGAGCCTCCTGTCCTGCTTGATCTTCCTGAAAACAGATCCAAAGTTCTGTAAGTATAAACAGATTTTTCTTCATTTTTCTCAACAAAAAAAAAAAGTATTTTCATTTCTATAATGCTCAAATCTCCCCTTCAGCCTCTTCTACAATCTTGAGAAGACTTATTAGTTGAAATGCAGAAGCCTTGCATCACCAGTCTGGTTGTCTGGTGCAAATCCACCCCTTCCAATATTCAGTTAGTAAACCTTTATTCAGCTTGACGCTGCCTGGGGAGCGCGGCGGACAGGAATGTCAATAAAAGTAAATTGAGCCAGTGCAATTTTGGTATTCTCGGCCATTTCAGACATATTATAGGAGCACAAATAGTGCTGTTTGGTTTTTCGTTGGAGTTGAATTCACTAAAGCAAGCATGTGCCTAAAATTTGCTAAATCAAATGAGCTTTTTAATGTTCATTATGTTTTTTTATATTTTTATATTAAGCTAAAGTCAAGGCAGTAAAGAATCATTCAAGTGTCTAACAGGTGGTTTGCCACTTAAAGCGAACATGTAGCTGCTCAGTTTGGGTTTGATGGATTTGTGACTTTTAGCAAAATTTCTCATGAACCACTGGACGGATTTTAATGAAGCCTTCCAGTAATATGCACGGGCTATATAGTAGTCCCTCACTACTTCACTGTTTGTTTATCGCCTACTCGCTCTGTCGCGGTTTTCCAAAATAAGATTGGACATGACACACAATTGGCTGATTGATGGATGAGCCGCACGATAGGCATGGAATTTTTATTTAAAATAAATTATTTTAAATTATTTAGCACCTGCTGCACATTTGTGCGGCCCAGAGCTGCAGAAAAGGTTTCCTCCCGCACCTAAATATTTAGCTTGTAAATTAAATATTTCGTTTGGAACTATGACATTTATAAATGTTTAAATAACATGGTGAAAATCTGACTGAAAAAAAATCTATATATTTTTTTTCTTATGAAAGTCTAAATAAACCAAAATATTGCTGTTCACTTTTGACCGTATAATTTTACAAACAGTACCCCATATTAGTACTAATATTCCTACTTCACGGGTTTTCACTTATCACAGCTCTTGAGGGTATGGATCCCCCATGATAAACGAGGGACTTCTGTACCTCTAAAACAGATCATTGGGAACTAGTAACAGGTCGTTTGTTAAATACTTAACCCCACTTTTGTCCAGCTTTCACACCATTGTTGGCCTTATTAATTACTTCCTGCTAACTTCATCACAACACGGTGGGAGAGAAAGCTAGACGAGTTCTGACACGGACATCAATCTGTCCAATAGGCAGCGATGTAGTTTTAATAGAGCTCTGAATAGAGACCCTTGTTGGCATTATAAGGCCTGGCGGGCTCACACTCTCAGCCCTGTGGTGGTAATAGCTTCATCATTGGCAGGCAGGCCACGTCACAGCTTTAAATCACTTAAAACCCCCGGGGACAAATGCACCCAGGGAGCTCACTGCCTGATAGTTTCTTCTCTTTAGTTTAGGCTCGTAGCACTAATTCATGCACGGTCACAATGTTGCAGTGGATTAGCCTGAATTGGGTCCATAAAAATACGCTGAAAATGTACTTTTTTTAAAGCACAACATTGCCTTTTCCGATTTATCGTGTTATAAATGTCTTTTTTTTTTTAATAAAGAACCCCAAATTTTCCCACCTTTAAAATTTGCTTTTTGCTTCTGCTTTTTGTTTTGCCATCTCTCTCAGGCTAGCACGAGACGCCCCAGACAGATGCACCAGTCACTTTGATGCAGTGGCCCAGATACGCGGCGAGGCCTTCTTTTTCAAAGGTACTACGGCACAACGCTGCACAACAGTGTGGGAAATGGAACAAACACTCAAGCTAAATGAGCAGGGAAAGGGTAAACCCAATATTAAAGGGTAAGGAAAGTGGGGGTTGGGAGCTGCACCCAACTGAGGCGTTCGAGCTCCTTAAAGACTGCAGCCCAAAAATCACATCAGGCTTTCATGCTTGTCCTCTGGAAGTGACCCCAAGCTTCCCACTGACAATGGAAACAAGAAACAGACCCAAGCTATCAGCAGTTGAACTGTCTGCTGAACTTTAGCTGACATTTCTTTTGAAGACCTTCTTATGCTTTTAATATAACAATTAAAAGTTTATGTATCAGTGCATACAGTTACTTTAATTTTGATTTTGCTGACATGTGAAATAATAAAGATGCAAGTTTTCTGTTTGTTTGAACTAGTTTGTAATCGGGGACTGCCATTGCAATGCATAGGAGAGCAGTGCATTGCCTAACTTGACCATTGTTAGAGATATTGAAATGAAATTTGGTATAGTGATAGCTGAGGGAGAACCCAAACACATATTACTGTCAAATCAACAATTTTAATCGGCAGCAGCCTGGCAGTCCCCGTCAAAGTTTCTCCAGGAACTTTCTAGTAGATATTTATACTCCTGCAAAATGTTTTCACCATCAGAACTGCTCATTCTGACGTGGCTGTGTTATTTCAAACATTGTCCGGTGTCTGTTTTCTTTTTTAAATCTTCATTTTAAAATTAACCTCGTGCTTTTTCCTCAAATTCTTTCATTTGTGTATGTTTTCTCAAAGTAAAGTTAACAAAGGCAAACTGTGATATTCTGAATATTTTTGTTCTTTTCCTTATAGGGAAGTACTTCTGGAGACTAACACGAGAGAAGCACCTGGTGTCCCTTCGTCCGGCACAGATCCATCGCTTCTGGAAGGGACTCCCAAACAACCTGGACAGTGTTGATGCAGTGTACGAGAGGCCTGGAGACCACAAAATAGTGTTTTTTAAAGGTACCATTTATAGCCTATTGCAATAATAACTAAAAAAACTCCTGAACCTTTTAAAATACATCACCGAGTTATAAAGGTCTGGTTAAAGGGCATTAGCTTTTCAAAGTGAGTCTTTCAAGCAGTTTAAAATGTTTCTATACATTTTTTTTTTTTTTTTTTTTCAGAAAATTTGATTAAACATAAATCAGAGGTGTCAAACTCTGGTGTTCTTCCCACAGTAATCCAAGATTATTGAAAAAAAAAAAAAACTTTATTCTGGCTTTAAAGTTAGCCAGCTGTCAAGAAAAATCTGCACCAAATGAAATGTCAGTTTTTTGAAGTAAAATGAGAAGAAATAAAAAACTGTTCTGCAATTAAAATATCTTGGGGGACCAGATAAGATGTTAGCAAGGGCCAGATTTGGCCTGCGAGCCTCGAGTTGAACACATGTGAGCTAGAGCATGAACTAATATAATAAAGTAAAATAAAGTAACATTCAAGAAGAGTACCAAGCTTGTAATACTTTTATTGCATCACTTTGTAGCTTTTAAACAATAAGAAATTGGAGACAGTTTTCATTTTGAGTTGCAGAAATTTTAAAATAAAGAACAAGAATAATTTAAATTAAAGCAATAGTTTGGATTATTTGAGCTGGAGATTTGTAACAAAAGTCATGAACAATTAACATCTTACCTGCTGTTGATAGAATAGATTACATGATCTCATCTTGAAGAAATTAGAGCTTCGTTTTGACCAGATTAACAAGCTGATAACTTGTTAATAACCACTAAAATGGATTGCTACCATCTTCAAACAACTCCAATCTCAACAAACCTTTGCATTGCATTAGTTTAACATATATGGTATTTACTAGGGATGCACGATATTATCGGCATGTATCGTATCGGCCAATATTAGCGATAAAGTTAAATATCAGACAGAAGCCATTCCATCAAAATAACTCACCAATATAAAAGGCTTCTGTTTTAAGTTAATTTTTAATTTAAGAAACTGTCAAGTATATCTATTAATGCACAACTACTTATGCACTTTTCATTTGTCGCTTGTGAACAGGTTGAGTTTAGATTTGTGAAAATGTACAAATTTGCACTGTTCAAGTTGAAGTGTTGCATCATTTCCAGCCCACTTTTTGGCATCTGCCATTAGTAACAGGCCAAATTGACAAAGACCATGCAAAATAATGTAGTATTTTAATTCCACAGCAGAGAAAGCTGTGTAGTCTCTGTAAGTAGGTCTAAGAAAAAATATCAGTATTGTTATCGGTTATCGGCCAAATAGGTTTTAACATATCGGCATATCAGAAAAAAATTAAAAAATCCAATATTGTGCATCCCTGGTATTTACATATAATTATCATTTTGACTTTAACGGCTCAGTTTATTTTCTTGTACAGTCATTCAACACTCATTGTTTAAAAATACATTTTCTCTTGTTTAATGCACATTTCTCTGTTTCTACTGTGTTAAGGTGTAAAATACTGGGTATTTAAAGACAACATCATGGAGGAGGGTTACCCCCGTCCAATCAGTGACTTTGGCCTACCCGTGGAAGGGGTGGATGCAGCTTTTGTTTGGCTGCACAACGACAAAACCTACTTCTTCAAGGACAAATACTTCTGGCGCTACGATGACCACCTGAGGCGTATGGACCTGGGCTACCCTAAAGACAGCGCCCTCTGGAAGGGGCTGCCATCCCAGTTGGATGACGCCATGAGGTGGTCTGACGGTGAGTTAGCAATACCATCCATCCATTAGCTTTACCCATTTATTCCATTTTGGGTCACGGGGGTCGCTGGTGCCCATGTCCAGCAATCACTGTGCGAGGGGCGGGGTACACCCTGGACGGGTCGCAAGTCCATCACAGGGCCACAGAGACAAACGAGACAAACAACCATTCACTCTCTCATTCACACCTAGGGACAATTTAGAGTTACCAATTAGCCTAATATGCATGTTTTTGGTCTGTGGGAGGAAACCGGAGTACCCGGAGAAAACCCACGCATGCACGGAGAGAACATGCAAACTCCACCCAGAAGGCCCCTGGACCGGGGTTTGAACCAAGGACCTGCTCGCTGAGAGGCAGCAGCTCTACCAGTTGCGCCACCGTGCTGCCCGAGTTAGCAATACAAATAACTTTTTTTTTTCTTGTTTTGTCTGTTCTGGTTTTCTTCCGCTTGGAATATTCAAAATCCAACTTTAAAGAGAGGCATCCAGGAAAGCCATATAAGTCTGATATTTTTCAATAATCTTGCCAATCAAATAAAAACTGAATTATTCATTAGTTTCAATAAACTTTCTGTCTTTGACAGTAAAGCACCTGAGATAAAGCTGTATTTATTATGCATGCAGTTTATTTTTTCATATGTAATTTGAGTTGACGTGACTTTTTTTGGCGTAGCTGCCATGCGCTGATTAGAAGCATTTGTTTTTAGGGTGATTTTGTTCCAACAGCGTTGTTTTTTCATACCTTTATCTGTTATTTTGACATAGCACACTTGCACTTTTTTTTGCCAGCACTGTGCTTCACATTCAGAGATTCAAACACACTCAAACCTTGGAGCTCGCCCAGTGTAATCATGCTGTGCAGCTCCACGGTACCAAGGTCGTGAGATCTACAGTCTTTGGATCACATACAAATAGGAGCAACCGAATGATTTACAAATATTTTGATGGATGAGCAGAAGCGGATGTATTTTGTTTGGTTTGTAGGTTGGATTTGGATGATGCTCAAGGATGGTTTATGTTCTGTAACAGCCCATGCACACACAAACACACACACAGCAGCCACCTGGTTTTAAGTTCTCAGGTCACACACTGGAAGCCAAGATGTCCCTAGCCTTCTCTGCAGGCCATGTGCATGCAAGGAAGCTCTTTTGCTGTCAGTCGTTTTTGTGGGCTGTGTTCTATTGACTGAGCTTGTAAACTCTGAGGTCTCAAAGCTCTTTGATGAGTGTAGCACCATGTGTGTGTGTGCTACTGAAAAACAGAGCCAAAAAGAGAGAGGGGGGAAAAGACTAGTCAATTGCATGGTTCTCATTCAGCTTCACCTCCAGCCATTATCACCACAGAGCCTGGAAGGGTAAACCTACACGCACAAATGCACATAGACAGATCATGGGGCCTGGGAACTGGAGCCACATCAAAGCCTGCTCGCTGTTTGTTTCACCAGCTCGGGATGAAAGGACAAGAGAAAAGAGATTGACACGGGCACAAGGAGGGGGAGAGAGAAAGAGAGAGAGAGAAGTGACATGGCAGCAAGAAGAAAATACAATAACAGTTTGTTACAAAAATAAAATGAAAAAGGACAGCTGGTGTGTGAAGAGGGAAAGAGAAGTGAAATGTAGACATGAGGGAGATATTAGCACACATTGGAAGCAAAATATTAAACATGACTGATAAAAATGGAATAGCTGTATGACAGTGATGGACTGACTCTGTTGAACTGGCTCCATGTCAGTTTATACTTACACCAAATCGTGCTTTTGCAGTTTTGGTCAATTTGTACCCACATATTGGGGTACAAAACAAAGCTGTTTGCTACTGGTCACTTTATATCCACATCCACCTATATTATACCCACCTTGGCCAGTGTTATGCCCATCTTGGTAGCCGCAGGATTGCAGAAAGATAGCGCCTCTGTAGAAGGTGCATGCAGGGTTGCAAGGATTTATGCATAACCATTTAAGTGCATGGGTGCAAAGTGGTGATCAGTTTGTACTAGTTGGGTACAAAACATCAACAGGTGGGTACAAAATGAGTGTACAATTTACTGTAGCAAAGGAACAAAGCTTTACTTTTATTTAGTAAGGTTTGCTGTCATGTTTGTTCTAGTTAATTTTAACTAAATGTTGGATTCTTATTGTTTTCATAATCAATCATAGGCCCTTTTTTGGCATCTAAATTTCTGTGAAATAGGAGTGCGTCAACAATGAACATGCATGGTTTTCATGGTTCTTTGTTACCCAGACATTAGTAATAGTAATAGTACTCTTGGATTTTATGAACTGTGGGGTCAGGTATCTGTAGATTGGGCTTTGTGAATGCAGATGCTATCAGGTTGATTCACTGTATGTGGACAGATAGTTACAGGGTGACCTTGCTAGAGTTTATACTTTTTGGAGGGGTTTGGGGGTGTGATTAAAACACCTTAGGGAGTGAATGCATATTTGATATGAGCCATCAGTCATTTCTGAGAAAGCTGCTTGAACTAGATTTACAAGGTTGTTGCTGAGAGAAACTCACGTCACAAATTGCCCTCAGAAACAAAAGGACGTGTACATTGCATCAGTGCACCATGAATTATTAATCGTTGTTATTCGACTGGCTAAAATTTTAACTGGTTAAGTAAATAATATAATTTACCAGAATTACATTCTTCTCAGGGACATTTGCAGGTTCCTCTCTCTCTAATCCCCACTGGGAGAACAAGGAGCTAAAAAAGCACTGAGAAGTTAGTCCATTTAAAAGTACCAGGGGGATTTGCATGGCAGAGCATTTTCAATTATTTATGGTTTTCGCTTTGTAAGGAAGTGTTAAAGACGGTACAGACTGTTGTGGTAATGTGGGTAACACAACAAATAAAGTGACAATTTTTACATTAAAAAACAGTGAATCTGAGAAATAATCAGTACTTTGGGGTTATCTCTCAGCTGTTATGTTGAATTACATTTTACACAAGCTTGCAGAAAGGCATTCCGCTGCTGATTTGTGGTAATGCATCTGAAACACATTTCCTCGTTTTAACTGTAACCTCACTCCACTGTCAGTGTACTTTGTCTTAGAACTTAAACAGACATAAACCAGGGAGCCTGTGGACTAATTTTCCTTAATCGTCCATGGTACTTAAGACCAAAGAGAAAAACACAAACAACTGTAGTCCAAAATTGATGTGTTTTAGTGGAAGAAAGGGGTTTACACCTCTGAGGAATTTACCAGAAAAAGATTTTGTTGGCTGGGAAAGTGACTGAGACTATGTCTTAAACAGATCCTGAGAAGAGTCAAAGAAAAATATAATTGGTAAAACAGTAACAGGGTTATTTACATCAAAAACTCAGATGCATGTATCGTCAAATGAATAATCTTTTCTTTAACTTAATGAGGACAGCTGTGTACAATGTTCATGAGGAAAATAACAGATGCACCATTTGAAGAAGGTCACCAGGCTGAAGCAGTGTGAGCAGCAAATATATGTTGGGAAAATGTATGGAGCAGTAGAAGTAACAAAATTAAGAATACTGAACAGTTGACACAACTATTGCAAATGGAGGTTATTTCTCTACCAATGCCAGCGACTGGTATGTTCTAAGATAAATTGGCTCTGGTAAACAAGTGGCTGGTGGCAGCAAATAAAAAAAGACACTAATTTAACCTGTTTAGTTATTAAAGTGTCTGAAACAGCTACCAGCATAACACAGTGCAATTTAATGTATGGTTTCTAGTTTACTGGCTTGCATTAAGAACTGTGCACATAAAATGCTTTGAATTGTGTTTTGTCCGGGCTTTTTCTCAACCTACAAAACAAAAAAATGATATGTGTAATAAATATTCAAACAATAAATAATTAAAATAAATGAAAGTAATACATTGACCTAAAGTTCATGAAAGCATATGTAATAAAGATCAGTCAAAGATACAATAAACAATTCACAACATTTGCATTCATTGAGAAGCAACTGTTCATAGGTCTGACTGCTTGAGGGTAAACACTGTCTGTGAGAAAACAAGTTTTGTCAAACATATATTTTATACATGATACTTTTATCTGCTACAGCATTTTTAAATATATTGCAGAAATAGCAATTCAGAATGCATTTTCCACAAATCTGATGAGCAATTTGAGATAGTAACATGTAGTGTTCCTCAAACCAGTTTCTATTCAGTTAGGTTGATTTCTATTGTAGAACAAATAAAAATTGATGAAGCGATTTTATGGAATCCCATAACTTTCTAAGCAGAAAGCAAACAAGTGTTGTTCCTTTTTTATTGCATAGTTATGTGCAGAGAAAATAATATGAAGATGCCAAGAAACTTTGATCTGTTCATAAATTCAGCAGAAAAAAAATGTAATTAATTAGGTCAATGAGCAGTTTTAGTTGCTCCTAAATCAGGTACAAGCTATTTGGTTTTATATACAATCATTTGTCAGTGTCACAACAACTTTACCCTTCTCTCATATTTATTTTATACTGTTGTGTCTGAAGAACTATAATTTGAGCAATGATTAGCCACAAATTGATTTACAAACTATAAGGTACCGAGAGTGCAGCCGTGTGGGACTCCTTTATGCATTACTGTAGGGGATGAGTTTTTTTTTTTTTTCAGATACAATCGCAGTGAAAAAGTAGCTTGTGAATCTTTTTACCATCCACATATTTAATAACAGCACATAGACACATAGTAAGACACCATCATTCACAGATCAGTTTAAACTACATGCAAACTGTAAAGGATTGAACAACTGCCAGTCTTTCATGGTGGCAGATGGTCAGGTAATTGACCAAGACAATTCAAGTGTCTTACACATCTGTTTGTGTTTACTTATATTGAGATAAACATTGTTGTATTAGTAGTTGAGAGTCATCCCTAACCCATATCTTGATCACTGACAGATCATGTATCATTTTTTGAATGTTTGACATGTAAAGAGCTACGCAATACGCATCCATTCCAGGAATGCTATTTTCATCTTTGGTTTCTTTTTTAAGTAGCATTCCTGCAAAAAATGCATACCTATCACAATTAAAATCTGACAGATGAGTCTCAGTTTATGCTACACCAATTGTTTAGCTCAATATCTGTCCAATGACTGTATCAGTTGTAGACATACCTCCAATAATTACTTTTTACTATTCACTGGCTCATGAGATGTTTTGTTAGACAGACAGATAAAGATACAATACACACATACACAAAAAAAAGGGAATTGCATGATTGCCACCTTTCATGATGCCAGCAATAATGAATTTACCTGTTGCTCAGAATGCTTCATGATTACAGGTTTTAGTGTAGTGAGATCTACTAAAAAAAAGTGATTTATAGAGGTTTATAGAGAATTTGCAGGACTTAAAGAAAATGCAGTCAACAAGTTCAACAGGAATCTCTGTCCCAGCAGGTCATAGCTGTTTTGAACCTACACAATATTAGTCAGGGAATTTTGTTGTTAAGCCAGTGTATTCTCTAACTTATGCACTCAATCAACAAATGGCGAGGGACTATAAATTATAGATTGGATATCAGGCATCCTAACTTTTCCTATACGAGTGTCATATAGTAGGACAAAGCTAACTAAAATAAACTTGAAAATTTTGTTGAAAAGATTTTGTGTGACATGTTTGCCATTTTATTTCAAGGCCAAAGATGGAAACACAAATGAAGAGCACCAGCTCTTAGTCATCCACACAGCTAAAAAAGCTATTCACTCAAGAGGAACAGAACGACAGGCCTTGAGTTGTTCTAACTGAGCTCCAAAGCTATTACCAGTGAGAGGACATTCTTCATTTGGCTCCTTCTCTTGTTTATCTCTTGCCTCGTATTAATGAGCTACAAAATTATCCCATGTTTATGTCTTTCTCTCTCTGCGTGTTTGTCTCTATCACTGGTTAATGAAGAAAATGAAAAGGATAGCCTTGGACAGTTAACAAATTCTGTGTCCCAGCTTCATGAAAATAGATGAAGTTATAAACCATCAAATTTCTGCTGAGGTGGGGTTCCATGAATGTATCATTCAGTGTGAACTCCTTGAACTTGAGTACAAAGACATTTTATTTCAATAATAGTTCAAGAATTACACTGTACCTGTTTCTATTTAGATCAGAACTCATTTTGACTCAATATTCACATCATTACATCAGTTACTGGCAAACAACAGGGTGGTATTTTCATCCAGGGGTACACGGTACCAAAACCCATATGGTACTTTGGCTAACTCTAATTAACTTAAGTGCCCTGTAGTGGAAGAACGGGCATGGTAGCAGGTTTATCAGTAACTATGCAATGAAATGTTGTAGTTATGAAGGCAAAAATCCCCCATAAGGCCTTGCTTTTTTTTTGTTTTGTTTTGCTGGCTGACACAATTCTCTACACATTTTCCACATTCAGTAATCCAGTGCTGTTCATTAGAATAGATGTACATACAATAAAATGGTAAATGGACTAATTATATAGCACCTTTCTATCTTATGAAGCCACTCAAAGCACTTTTACAACACAACCTGTGCTTTCATTTACCCATTCATACAGCACACTACTAGATCTATGCAGAGAATATCCAGTGCTTTATCACATTCATACACCGATGGGACACACACAGAGGAGGCAGTGAGGGGTTCAATGTCTTGCCCAGGGACACTTCGGCATGTGACTCCTGGTGGAATTGAACCCCCAACTCTTGCATTGGAGGACGACTGCTCTAACCACTCATCCACAGCCGCCCAAAAGAAAACATAATTTAAGCGTAGTATTATTAAATATGTGTGCATGCTTTGCTGCAGTTATGAGGACCTATTCAATTCCAACTATTTTCTTTTGGAGTGCAGTTATGGGCTACAGCTGAAATATTTGTACTGAATTTAATAATTACACACTAATAGTATCTAAGACTTGGTTCAGAGCATTTGTCTGACTGAATCATAATCATACCAAAACGCCAACTCAAAACATGTACAATAAAACAGCTGATTTGAATTTCAAAGGTTAGAACAAAGCTCTCATGTGATTTGTGAGGGTTTGGAGTTTGAGTTGGAGATTACTCTAAGCTACTACCACACAAAGTTTTAGCTCAATATGTGTAAAACTGAGCAAGTTTTATGTAACCTTAGATTGATTAACTGTGGGAGCCATCTTAAATTGGGCTGGCTCCAAATATTTAAGTTGTAATTGTCCAGTACATTCTGGGAGTTGTTTATACAATCTGTCCTCTAGTTCATGAGATATTTTGCTAACTAACAAATACACTAATATATGCAAAGACACGGGCAATTTTATTATTGCTCGCTTTTTATAGTGGGGGCAAACAAAACCAATACATTATGTAAAATGCATCTAAGAAACTATTAATATACGTTTAATAAAGGTTGTGCTTTAATTCACACTGTGCTCAGCTCCGTGTCAGTAAATTACTTTCATATGTTAGTAGCGTGTTTTCCTCATTTTAATGTCAAACCTAATTGCTGACTGCAATATGTTAACATTAATCTGTAGGATGTGGCAGGAGTGAAAAATTACACTGTGAACCTGTTTCTAGAACAAACCAAATATATTTTTTTAATTTTTCCTGCTGAATTTCGTCCACTTGTATCCATCCATTAGCTTGCATCAATCCACCTTCTCTTCCCGATTCATTCCGTATCAAATTTATCGCCTGCCCCCAAAATACTGAGGCACTTGAAAATGCTTATGTTGCCCGTGTTTGCGTGTCTGTTACTAAACCATTTCACGAAACAGTGGATGAATTTTAATGAAATTTGAAGAACGTAATCAGTGGTGGTACAGTAGTCCCTCGCTACATCGCGGTTCGTTTTGTACGGACTCGCTCTATCACGGTTTTTCAAAATAAGATTGGACATGACACACAATTGGTTGACTGATGGATGAGCCGCACAATCGGCATGGAAGTTTTATTTAAAATAAATTTAAAATTATTTAGCACCTGCGTGCAGCTGTGGGCTGCACGCAGGTGCTAAACAGAACTAGTGTACATCTAAAACTGATTACCTTTTGGATTGCAATGATTCTAATGTTTTACCTTTTTTCTCCAAAGGGTTGTCCTATTTCTTCAAGGGGAAGGAGTACTGGCGACTACTGAGCAGTGACATGGAGGTAGAGGCGGGATACCCCCGCCTCATTGCGAAGGACTGGCTGCTCTGCACCGAGATGCAGTCTGATGCTCCAGATTCAGAGAACACGGAGACGAGAGTCAACGTGCACCGCCACCCGGACCACGCAGAGAACGGGTACGAGGTGTGCTCCTGCACCTCGGACACCGCCTCGCCGCTGGGCTCCCGGCTCTCCCCGGCTCCCACCTGGATGCTGCCCCCCCTCTGGACGCTGTTACTGACGTTCTGCTCCGAACTGCTATGATGCTGAAGCATGGGACTGAAGCTCTATAAAACAGACAATCCATCAAGTGGAAACTGTTATCATACTATTTTTTTTTTCTCTGAATCTACAGTTATTTATTTACCATGCCATTTTTGATGGGGGACTTCCAACAGTGCAAGCACCCACAATTTGAATGCTTTACCTTTTATAAAAAATATATGATCACTCTGCTGAAATTTTGCAAAAAAAAACTTATTGGAAAAAAAATCCAAATGTAATAAGTTGATTTTTTTTAGTTTGTTTTTTATGTGCAGCAGATAAACAGCAGCAAAGACCCACAAGCATATCTGTTAACTCGTGCCAGCAGTTTTAAAGTGACTCCTGTGTTAAATCACTCTACACACAGACACACACACACACACACACCACACCCACACATACACATTCACACGTGCAAACATAGCTGAGGCACTGTTTTGTTACATAATTTGTTCCAAAATAATCCAAAGTCAAAAATTCCAAATTAAATGTCTTGTAGGTGATTTTTAATTTTATTAACCTGGACACTGGAGATGAATGGAATGGAAATTCATTTTCATGTGGTGTTTCTATCCACAAATGAGAAAAAAATAATAATAATTCTGAGTCCAGACAAGATAAATACATTTAAAAAAGGATTTCTGCATAAATTAAATGCCTTAAGTAACTCACGTCACTCACGCAATGACTCTGACATTTGGAAAAAAACGAATCACATTTGATAAAAAAAAACAAATCACATTTGTAAAAACGGAATCACATTTGAAAAAAACTGAATCATATTTGAAAAAACTAATCACATTTGATAAAAAACTGATCACATTTGGGGAAAAAAACGGAATCACATTTGAAGAAAAAAAAAACGAATCACATTTGAAAAAAAATAAACGAATCACATTTGAAAAAAACGGAATCACATATGAAAAAAACTGAATCACATTTGAAAAAAAAAACGAATCACATTTGAAAAAAACAATCACATTTGTGTGTGTGTTTTTTTTAACTTTATTAACAACATGAAACAAAAAAGAACAATGTACAGTACACACACAACGGAGGTACAGTTAGCAAGCTAGCCTTCAGCCTGTGGAAATGGAGAGCTGCGTTTTGTTCAAGCTCTTACCCTAATCCTGCCGAGTTTTTCCAGCATCATATCTACTTCTCAAAGCTTGAACAAAACGTAGCTCTCCATTTCTACAGGCTAAAGGCTAGCCTGCTAACCGTAGCTCCGTTGCGTGTGCTAGCCTGCTAACTGTACTTGTACCTTGTGTGTGTACATTGTTTTGTTGTTCTGTTTTATGTTGTTAATAAAGTTTAAAACATACACCAAAAAAAACCACCAGTTCTAGATTGGCTTAATGTAAATTCCGTTTTTTCAAATGTAATTCTGTTTTGTTTTTTTTTCCATTATTGTTCATTTACACCGCATGGGTTGCATAGCAAGCAAACCTGCACAAGTTATTTAACTATTGTTTATGCTGGATGTCCTCCCTGATGCAACCTGGGCTACAACCTGCAGCCTCAGGATTGTTAGACCTCAGAACTGACCATGGAGCTACCGCAGCCCCCAAAGCGAATTAGAACAATAAGGCTCATAAACCACAGAAGGAAAAAAAAAAGTAAAGCTCTGGCACTCTCAAGGCGAGAGTGTGCAGGGGGTGGAGAGTTACAAACAAGGTCTGGAAATCATCCAGGGTACCAGGGGCACTGCTGTGAATCAGAACTATTATCCTTCCAACTGTGCGCTCCAACCACGACTTTCCGTTCACCTCCGAGTGTCTCTACGAAAACTAAAATGAAAACCGTCTGCACAATCAGAAATCACCAGATAGAATTCAGAAACAGACGTTATAATAAACGCCACAATCCACTCAAACATATGTCCATAAAACACGAGCGCTGGAGGGCTTAGAGTGATGCCTGGAAGCTTCTGCTCACGTGTGGATGGGGAAGCACCGGTTCTCTTACCTTTAAATCTGTTGACTCGGCTCCAAAATAAGAACCTGCTGTTCTTGTTCATTTTTCCTAACAAGTTCCCTGCTGTCAAACCAAGGTCCTGTTAATTTCATTGCCCTCAGCTACATCATTATGGGATTTATCATTGCTGTAAAGATGTATTTACCTACAAACTTATATATTTGACTTGAGATGCTTTTGCAGTTATTGCAAAACCAAGTGGACTGTGTATATTTTAAGCTCTGTTTTTATTGTATAATATTTTTGTAGGAAATTAAAATATATATATATATATATATGTATGGATGATTTTATCACATGGCTTTTTATTCTTTTGAATTTGCCACTTTTTAGAGGCAGAGAGAGGTATTATGCTGCTAGAAGGAGCCGAGGCGTCAGCACAGATGCAGATAACGTTGCAGTTTTGCAGACACCGACTGGAGCTGCTCCTCCACCGTCCTGCTACTCTCGGGCCATGTTTTTGTCTCGTTATGGTCACCGCTGCTGTTTATCAGGGATGCAAGTCGCGCCAAATCAATCAAATCACACTCCGAGAGGATTTATAAAGAGATCTGCTGACGGAGGAACTACACACCATGTTGGCTTTTCTTAAAGGGATAGCTCATTCACGTTATAAATTAAATTTTACTCCCATCAGACACCATTGTGAACAGTCTCCAGCCCAGAAATGACCCAGACGAGTAGATGTGGATGTGATGTCATCTGTGGCGGATGTTTATGCACGCGTCAGCATGTGTGTAAAGTTTTTGTGCTATCAGAGTTGAAAAAAATGGCTGCTATGCTTGTTGGTAAATGCTATTCGCCAACTGGTCCCCAGCATCCACAGTCCAGTGAGAATCTGTCTTAACGGGCTAATCTGACCAGGACTAAGAGGAAAATGGAATGCTGCCGTCTCCAAACAACTCCAGTCTCAAAGGTTTTATCCAAACGCTATTTGATAAACTTTTCAATTTGGCATTACAGTTATTCTGATGGAAAAAGCCTAACAGCTTATTGCCCCAGGCGGCTGCCACTGTTTGACTCTGTAATACTCACAGAAATCTAACTGAATGGTTGCGTATTGTGAAACTGATTTTAACATAATGCTTTATAAAATGGTGTTTACTAGAAACACTATAAAATCTTTTAGTTGTTGGGGTGGTTTTAAGATGACAGCAGTCCAATTTGGCCATAGTTCTTCTCAGACTAGCTGTTAGCTCATCGTCCAGTCAGAATTAACATAAACCGTAATTTCTGGACTATCGAGCGCAGCTAAATACAAACCGCATGCACTAACTTTAAAAAGAAAAAAAGTACATATATAAGCTGCACTTGTCTATAAGCCACAGGTGTCTACGTTGTGACATTAATTTTTTTTTTTTTTACTTTTAATTACATACGTACCGGTAACATACACAAATAAGTGCAGTAAATGTTTTTGAAAAGAGGTTTGTAGGCTCAATCATCCAGGTAGATAACCAAAAAAAAGTTAAATCATGTCATCTGGACCAGTTTCTTTAAGGGAGAAACGTTTCATCTTCCATCCTGAAGACTTCATCAGTCTGTCGCCTTCAAACCAGATCTGTCCTATAAGTAGCCTTCATTGCTGTTTCAAGCCAAACTCCTGTTGGAATCTCAGAAGCAGGCTTTTAACACATGCAAAATGATCCATCTGTCCAAAACAATCATTCCAACAGGAGGTTGGCTTGAAACACAGCACTGAAGGCTACTTATGGGACAGATCTGGTTTGAAGGCCACAGACTGATGAAGTCTTCAGGATGGAAGATGACACGTTTCTCCCTTAAAGAAACGGGTCCAGATGACATGATTTAACCTTTTTTTTTTTTTTGTACTTTTTTTTAGTAAAAGTTTTTTTTTGTAAATGTCATTTATCACTGGGAATCCATACCCTGAAAACCCGCGATAAGTGAAAAACGGCAAAGTAGGAATAGTAGTACAAGTAGTCAGTAGTAGTTTATTTTATTTATTTTTATAGATATTTATTAAAGCATTTTAAACCCTTCTCACACTATTGCAATATTCTAAACAATGTTTCTAAACTCTAAATGCTCTAAAAGAGCATAGAATGTCATGATTTCAGCTCTAAGCCTCCTCTGCTCTTTGCCACCTGCAAGCACTATTGGCCACGCCCACTTCTCCCCTCTGCACGCTGAACAGCTGATCAGCTGCAGCAGGAAGCTTATCCTGCAGTAATGGCTGCACAAAGCTGCAGGAGGACGCTTTTTAATGCAGCTCTGGACTGCACAAATGTGCAGCAGGTGCTAAATAATTTTAAATAATTTATTTTAAATAAAAATTCCATGCCGATCGTGTGGCTCATCCAATCAATCAGCCAATTGTGTGTCATGTCCAATCTTATTTTGTAAAACCACGATAGAGGGAATCTGCGATAAATGAACCTTATATATGAATATATACATAGTCATTGAACACTATCTTGATCTTCCTCTTGTGCACTAAAACCACTAAAGTCGTCTTCTTCAGCGTCAGAATTGAACAGCCTCAGAATGACTTCGTCACATTTGTTGTTGCTCGCAACGTCACTTTCATCTCGAGGCAAATTCACATTTGAGCTTGTGCTGTCTTTTGATCACGCAGCAGTCCAGCGTTTTGAAACTCGTTGACAATCGTGGATTTTTTTGACCCTGCTCCACGCTGTCAGGATCCACTGGCAGACTTGAGCAAAAGTTGCTCTTCGCATGCGGCCAGTTCTGGTAAACGAGTCACATTAATGCACGGATCATGCTTATTCCGAGTGGCTGCAAATACTTCGCTGTGCCCCCAGGGATCACATGTTTCACGCGATCACGAGTCGTGTTTTGGGCAGCTATGTGGGCACCCGAATGTGACGAGACTAAATGTTTTGGCGGCACGAAGCTCGTTAGTCCGTCAAAATCCATGAATTAGCTGCATCATTGTAGAAGCTGCAGTGTTCAAAGCGTGGGAAAAAAGTAGCGGCTTATAGTCTGTACATTACGGTATGTCGTCAAATTGAGATTGCTTGAAAAGCTATCTACAACAGGTAAGACCTTTGCTTATCATCTTATCACGGAGCCCTACTTAAAAATATCTGAACTACTGAAAAAGTCACCTCATCCACACACACATATATGGACATGCAATAATAATAAAAATATTAATAATAATCACTATGAGCACCTTTCCCCAACATTATTCACAGTCACAGTTATAGAACGCACACATGACAATGTTTGTGTAGACATTTGTTGTTTTCTACCCAGAAGCCTCAGACTGCAGGCTCATAACTTTACTCTTTTTCTACTTTACTTTTGAGGTAAAATGAAGTTTAAAAGTTTAAGGAGTCACTCATTCGGCACTTCTGCAGACGGCAGCATGTTTCCTTCCCTTCTCCTGACACACTCTACTGGTATTAATTAACTGGAGTGGCTCAGCAGCAAACAGGAGAGCATGCGCACACACAGGCAAACACACCGTGGGTCAAGTTCTGTGTGTGAGCTCTAACAAGACAATAATTAATAAACTTGTGTACGTAGTCATTCTATAAAACAGATTTTTAGGGGTAGGGGTAAACCAGTGAGAGTGTGTGACACTGACTTCTCGAGTCTCCACATGGGCCAGACTGAACCAATCGATCACTCTGTAACCAAAATATTCAGGACTAGGTGGAACTGCGTGCAAAGCTGAGCGCTTGCAGTGGAATGGGAGGATGGAAAATGGCAAACGGAGAAACAACCAGGCAGGAAGTGACAGCCGCTGCAACAGACTGATACGGAGGTTAGATGCACATGCACGAGGAAAAATGTGAAAAATGGAAGCACGCAGAAATACAAGTGGAGACAAGGAAATGAAATGTGATCTCTGGAGAGACGGGGGCAAAGATAAGGAAGCAATTTAGCTGCAAAAACGCATAATCCAGGTGGGATTTAGAGAACTGTTTCCACAAGAGCTTATTGTTCGATTCGTTTTAAAACGGCTGTAATTAGACGGAGTTTTAATCGTCTGTAAAAGGTGTTTACTCCCAATGTTTTATTTGTTTGGAGGTAAAACCTGAGAGGAGGGGATTAACCGTGTTAGTGATAATCCCTCATCCATTAAACTCAGTGAATCATCTCCATTTGGTCCTTGATGTATCAAAGTTAAACAAATAAAACTTAATTTATGATACAAATGTTTTCTGTTCGTGCATTTTCGGATCAATAAAAACAAAGACTGCATTTCCCATATTTCCAGTCTGCACTGGAGAGCGCCATCTTTGTTTTGGACTAAAATGGTTGGTTTTAATCTAATAATCTAAATGTATCCATGGAAAGCACCGGAGAAGTAAAACAGAGCAAGCCTTTCTCCAACTACCGTATTTTCCAGCGTATAAGTGGCAGTTTTTGCAAAGATTTTTGCGATTTATATGCCGAAGTGACATATACATTTTTTTCCATATACATAACGCAATTTTTGACTGTTTTAAATTTTGAAGAACTGCAACAGCGAGTCTTCCTGTGCGCACTCGCTTCACTCAGCTGGTGCAGGCGGAGGAACGCTGGAGAGCTAGCGGCTCCAGCCGCGATGGACGGATGGCTGGCTGGATGCATGGATGGATGGATGGATGGAACCATGCAGCCCTGGCGAAATTAAGTTATTTTGACCATTAAATAAATGCATAATAAACACGTATTAAAAGCATATTAAACGCATATTAAACGCATAATAAACACATAATAAATGTATAATAAACACATAATAAACGTGTAATAAATGCATATTAAACGCATATTAAACGCATATTAAACGCATATTAAACATATAATAAACACATAATAAACGCATAATAAATGCAACGGGTCAGTGGTGACACAAAGTGACTTATACGCCGAAATGACTTGTTAGTTGTTTTTTTTTTTCCTCTTCATGATGCTTTTTTTGACTAATGCAACTTTGACTGTTACTCCGGAGCGACTTATACGCTGGAAAATACGGTGTGTTTCTGAAAAATTATAGAATATGATGGAAAGTCATGTATTCATGTTTAAGTTTAAAGTGCAGATGTTTTATCCCCTTAACAAATATTGTTTCTGACAAATGTATCTGTCCTGTCCACATGGACAGTTTTTAAAAATCCTCACTGTAAAAAGTTTTTTTTTTTTTTAAACCATTCAACTTTCTCACCCAAACCCCTGGTTGTTTGAGGATGGAGGCGTAAACACAGCCATGAATCATTTTTTTAAGATCTGATGTGTGGAAAATGGAGCTTCCATCAAAAAGTCCAAGCACCATCAGCTGCAACTGCTACACGTCTTCAGAAACAGACATGACGTCACTGTTTGTAGAGTGCTTGAAACGTGCGTTTTGTTGTTCAATCCAGCTACTTCTGCATGTTTGGGTGATTTAGTCATTAGTATCAAAGTATTTAGCTTATTCTGCTCATAGACACCGGCATAATTTTTGCTTCTTTTTTACTGTATCTGTACATTATGTATAAAAACCTTCCCATAGAAAAAACATTGGCATCTTTTGAATTCATCAAAAATATTACTTTCTTCAAAATCTGGATCTATTTCATCTTTTCTAGTTTCAGCTTTTTTTCTTGCCTTTAGCTACTTTTAGCTCCTGCTTAGGCTTTTGCAACTTTGTTTGTTTGAATTATTTGTTTTAGCCAACTTTTTGTTACTTTTAATTTCTAGCTAGCCTTTTTGGCTAAAGTGTTTTTTTCTTTGTTGTTTTTAGCTAGTGTTTTAACGTTAACCAATTTCAGCTATTTCAGCAAACATCAGCTGTCATTCAGCGCTCAGAATTTATGTGGCATTTTCTGCAAAAATGCATTTTCCTTTGTTTTTATGCTTTTTAAAGAGAAGTGACAATAATGTTAAACGTCAGAATACCCCATGCTCAGTGGTAGTTCTGACTTTAAAAAGTTTTTAACTTTGAAAAATTACACATTTATATATTTTTTTTCTTGTACAGCTCATTCATCTTAGTTTGAAATGTCCATCCATCCACCACTTGTTCTCCTCCCAGGGATCATCCTCCTCTTGATGTGGAGGAGCAGAGGTGCTTCTGTGTGAGAATGTGTCCATCTTGGGTTCTTTCTTTAGATTCTACTGGGCCCAGCGTTTTTCTCTTCATGTACCAGCTCCTTGCTTCACCTGCTCCCAGTCCCAATCACCCCAGGTGTTCATCATTATGTCTCGTTAGTTCGGTGTCTTTGTGTTTTCTGGTTGTCGGTGGATTGTGCTTTCCACAGCCGTTCATGCTCCGCTCCTCGTGTTCTCTATTCTCGTAAGTTTTGCAGCCACGTCAGCCTTTTTGTTTTGTCTTGTTAATAAATTAGTTTCTTCATTTTTATCCCTGAGCTCCCCATGTCCGTCTGCACTTAGGTTCAAAATACTCGGATCGCAACGCTCCAGTTTTTTCCGGAAAACTGAACTTCTCATCTTTAGGGGAGAGTCCAGCTACCCTGCAGAGAAATCTCATTTTGACCACTTGTATTCATGATCTCATTCTTCTAGTTTGAAATGTGTCCCTGAAAAATCTATTTTTGAAGGTTAGTTAGCCCCAATCATCAACCGTCTCCATACATCACACACACACAAAAAAAAAGTAGGATATCCCTTTAATTTAGCTTTAATGCCCAAATTGTAGTGTTAAAGTAAATAAAAGACATCTTACCAGCTATGCAATATTACAATAAGCTAAAGAAAATACCGTACTTTAGGCATACAAAAAGATTTTACAGGCAGTGTGTCAATGTGCATCTGTTCTCTAAATGTCTTCAAACAGAAATGGAAGTAGCATAAAAATTGTAGAGTAGCACATTTTAAAATAACCTTTTTTATTTACCTAGCAGCAGGCAGAACCAGTGGGTTCCCATGATTTAACCAGCGTGAGCTCACTGGTCAGACAGCTCTGAGCCTCTGAGATACCCGTCACCTACTCTCAGCAGGGACATAAAACTGGAACAATGCTCTCGATTTCACAGTCTTCACCAGTGCTGATAAGCATGCACATGTGGGTTTGCACCCCCTTACACAAAGTAGGAGTCGGTGTTCATAGAAGGAGAGGAGCAGCTGTTGTCCACTGAGCTCCACGCCTGTCCTCACACACATCGGTCCCGGGCACAGGTGCAGAACACACACCACGGACGTCTGGGCGCCTGACAGAAAACAACGTCCAAGTCACAGGAGGTTGTTGACGTAACTGGGTTCTATGGTGCTTGTTTCTGGACAACAATGGAGATATGAAAAATAATCCTTACAGGGGAAAAGAACAAAAAAAGTTGCAGTATATGAAATTCAGCCCTCGCAGGCCGGAACAACCATCTCCCTCGCAGCCTCCGAACCATCCCACAAGTGATGAGCGTCGCGAGTATGTAAATTTATTGAAATGCACGAAGCACTTCTGGCGGGCCGTGGAGCCCTTTCTTTAATCGGAAATGACACCTGAAGGTGTTTGCTCCTATTATCGCTGGCAGAGCTCTTGCAGGCCAGGCAGAGCCAATCGATCAGTCTGAACTGAACCAAGCAGAGGCTGAAATATTTGCTGCTGGAGCAATTTCCTCCAAAACCTGGAAAGTGTTGAGCTGGGCTGAGAGGATGTTGTGCTCCGTTACCTGGGAGATGCAGCACCTATACGACAAAAATCCTCCACTATATATATATATATATATATATGTGATCTGTCAATTACAGCTTTTTGTTCTCTCTCTAACAGGAAGCAGTACGGAGTCATGTCACCGTCGCTCCTCCTACTGGATAACGCATGTATCTATAGGTGTTAAGATACTAAACATGCAATGGAAATACTCTGTAAGGATTTTTTATTTTAAATATGCAGACATCTACTAGAAACCCTTTCATCTTTTGTTTGTGTTGTGCTGCTCCCTGCTGGTGGTAAAATATAAGTTTTGCCATAAATCAACCGCTCTTCAGCTGTTTTCTCATGAACTGCAAGAGCACGGGTGGAGAAAGTACTCAAACACTGTACTTAAGTAAAAGTACAAATAAACAGCCAAAAAACGTACTCAAGTAAAAGCACAAGTATCACATTAACGTTTTTTACTTAAGTTAAAATAAGTACTTGCTTTAAAAAAATAGTAAGTATTAAAAGTAAAAGTACTTGCTGAATGTATAATGGTCTACAGTATCATTATGTGTACTGTATGTATATTTTCTGTAATACGTTAATAGTGTTGAGTCATTTTAATGAACAACGCTGCAGATAATACGTTTTTATTGTGTTTACTCTGTGACATAGTTCACACTTGGACATGTGATTCTGTGCGTCAGTATTTCAGGGATGACCAGCAGAGTTAAATGCTATTAATCAAAATAAGAAAGAGGAATGATTTTACCTTTTGAAAGTTTTTATTTAACACAAAGCAAAACCAATGTGTCATTTTAACTGCAGTAAACACATTGAAGTAAAAGGTGTCCGACAGAAAAAAGGAGCATTAGACACAACTAACAAAGGAATATCTGATCATTTCAACTCCAGTTTGTCATCAACTCTAGTTGTAATACTTTAACTTCCTGACACCGTTTTTAAAAGATTAGACACGAGTGTCGAAACATTTGGAGACATCTCTTGTCTCCTAACATCCCACGAAGTGACACATTTTAATATCGCAGCGAGAATTTCTTGTTCAAGTTCAGAAGAAGTTGGTTTTCAAAGTTTTTTTAGTCAAGTCTGGCTCATTTGAGAGAGAGAATCTGTCCTGCTGTACTGAATAATCTTTCAATATGGGCGGTGTGTATCTTCTGGCTGACATCTGTGGTGGAATCCAT